CAAGTTTCGCTTACATTTAAACATACATAATTTAATATGAGAACTCATCTTTAAAACATTCTTAATGTAATCATTGTAATTATTATAACCAAGTAACCATTTTTATACATCTTAATATCTCTTAATATCTTCAACATTTGAATATCTTTCATATACACCTCAAAATCTGCTCGTCGGATCCTGTGATTATAGGATACAGTGATGACACCTGATTGAGCCATGTTATTGTTGATGACCAATGAGGCTGCAAATTGCAATGGAAAAAATTATGTAGATAAAAATACGTTGAATTATTGTATCTATCGTCAATAGATACAAAATGATATCTTTAGCAGAGTTGTACACTGATTTCGATACATTAGTTAAATGTCAATGTAGAAGAAGATGAACTTCCGATGCGGGAATGGAATTTTTGGCGCTATTCTTTCGACCCTGACGATAACAACTGGATAATTTTGTTACTCACAATCGGTGATAGCGCATTCGGGTGTCGTTACTATAATCATAGAATGTATAAGCCCTGAAAGGCCAACCCTCCGACTTATGGCTCTCGCAACGAAAAGTTTCTTTCAGAAGTCACAGCAATTCTGACGACGGTATTTTAAACCTGCGTTGTCAAAGTTAACTGTACACCTCTCTTAGTTAAAATATTTTTCTTCTGCGCCACGTCCTTGGATTCGCTGCTAATCGTAATGTTTGATCGCGAAGTCATGGTCACCGCGGTGGTGGAAGTCTTGCTGAAGAGTAATCCTCTTTCTCCCTCCTCGTCATCAAGCTCTAATCTGGAGTGTCCAGGGTTAGACTGCAGTCCATCGGTGTTACCCCTGTTCCTCCGTAGAAATATACTGTTTTCGTTGATGTATTGATTCATGGATTTGCCAGTTATACAAGCGCATGCCTTCAGGAAACTCTTCTTGAAGTTATCACTTAGAAAAGCATATAGGATCGGATTCATTGCGCTGTTGCTATAACTGAGGAAACCAGCTAAGAGAAAGCTTGCAATGCTCATGCTGGTTTGACATTGTCTCGGTGGGGTGAATATCAAAGCTAATTGGGTCACCCAGTAGGGTAACCAACAGAATATATATACAGTAATCACCGTTAAGACTAGTCTGGTAACTTTTCGATGCCGCTTTCTCTCCTTCGATTTGTTTTGCGGACCTACTGTTCGTAACTTTTTTATCACTAGAAAGTAGAAGTTTAATATGAATATGAGGGGAAGGACAAAGCCTAGGATAAAGGAATAAAGAATAAAAGCAGTCTGGCCACCGCGATCGTTGGGCCAAAAAATGTTACAACTGGCATGTCCATTTGAGTATTCCATGGTATCCGCATAACGAAAAACCGGTATCATGAAGAGAATGCTAGTGGCCCACGCGGTAAACGAAACTATTTTGGAAATGAGAGGCGTGCGTATCTTAGAGGATGAAATTGGATGACATACAGCGACGTAGCGATCGGCGCTCATGATTAGCAGAAAGAGGCTGCTTGTAAACTGATTGATAGTCGTCGTGGTCATGTATGCCTTGCACATGAATTTACCGAAGACCCAATTATGCAAAATCATTGTCGTCACTAGAAACGGTATGCCGATTAAGAAACATTCGTCCGCAATCGCTAAGTTTACAATGTACATATTTGTAACAGTTTGCATACTCGAGAAACGTGAAATGACGTAAATGACTAGAGAATTCCCGAAAATTCCAACGATAAAGACAATGAAGTAAAGGATCTGATTGACCAAACCAATAATTGACAAATCGACAACGCAATGCACGACTGTATTGTTGTCCATTAAGTTAGTTAGGTTGTCGTAATCCATTATAAATATCTTCTTAGTATCCTGGCGAGTGTCAGTGTCTGCGATGAGTATGTCTCTTCTTGGGCCGTTTATCGACTGTGAAAGGAGAATCTGAAACACAAGTAAAAAAATATAATTAATCGAAAAATATAGTCTAATAAGTTGCTTAAAAGATATTTAATGTCTGCTTTTCATCATATCCGAAAGCAACAAATTCATTTACACTAGAAATTGAGATTACGTAACAAAGAAATTGCCATTATGTATATGTTACTTACACATACACACATATGTATATACATAGAGAAAAGTCCCCGATTATGGGATAGGCTCCTAATATGAGATAGCGGGGTTTCTGCAAAATTATAATAATAGACATCATCTGTTGATTCCACCATGAATTTTTTGCCCTTAAAGTGAAATCTGTTTAGTGAAAATTTGAGTGTTAGGTCGTGTAATCGTTGCAAAAAAAGATTTATGATTGAATTTGGACATTGAAAACCTACTATTTCATATTAGAATCCTATTTCATAATAGAGAGCTTTAATTCTTCTACATATACACTCATTGATATTACCAGGGGTTGGGAAGTAACTTCAATTACTTCCCTACTTTCTTTCTGTAAATGTAACTTAACTTATAATCAGTAACATTTTTCCGATAACTAGTAACTAATTTAATAGTTAAACTAATAGTTAATTTATAAATATTATATATTTTTAAACCTCCACAGATCGCATTAGGCCTTGCATTTGCGCATAAACGCCTTTATCGACATTCTACAATTCAAATGTAGATTTGATATTTTTATTTTTATTGCAAGAAAGCAACTGCAAAGTAACGATTCGTTACTTTTTTAATAACTGTAACACGTTACCTTTCAGAATCGGTAACTTGTAACTGCAACTTTTTTAGCGAAAAAACTGTAACTAGATACTTTTATAACTTTTCCAACCCTGGATATTACGATATTAAAATCAAAATATTGAGATTGTCGGAAATAAACATACTATTTGTGCGTATGCACTTTGATAAAAAAAAATAAGCCCTTTAATATAAAATCGCGAATACAGTAAAGAGAATTATACAATATCAGGTATATACTGAAAAAAAGAACAAAAATTTATTGCAGAAAATCATTACAATCTTCTTTGCCGTGAAATGAATTCTGATTGATGTATCATTAACCGGCATGACATATGTATATTGTTGTTAAAACCCTTTAATTGATATTGTTTTCTTGAATGTAGTATTTTGTCTAGTAACGTTTCTGTTGCTTTATTAGAAAGTATGAATTTTAGTAACAATATAAAACACTTTTCTATCATAATATGCATAACATTTCAATTGTGGGCACTTGTTTGCATAATTTAAAATCGAACTTTATTATCATAACATTTTATGGAGGTATAACATATATTAGAAATTTATGCTGCAGAACCTTGAGCAATATTTTCCGACGTCGTATAGATACGCTTTCAAATATTACTCTTTAGATGAAGCCAACGCAAAAGAAACGAAACTTTTTATGTAATCAAACCAGTCATTTCGCGTATTTGTGAAGAACATGCGAAACACATTTTCTTTTAAGATATAGCGTTTGCAAGATTTCTCGTTTTCTCCCCCCCCCCCCCCTCAGCAGTCATTGGCAAGTTATTCCGACCAAACCTAACAAATGAAATCCAAAATGAAAACAGGATGTGAATTAATGTAGTCAAATATATGTATATACGATTCCATGCATATAGTCGTGCAGTTCGTATCAGCAAGATATGTGGATCTCTTCACGAAACTTTATTTACTGATTGTAAGTTGCGGCACAATGGAATCTGAGCAGGGAGTTAACTTTTCAATTTAAATTTCGAATTTCAATTAAAGTTTCTGTAACTGTGAAGCTCATCCTGCTCTTTCGATAGAAGGAAAAAGTAGCAGAGTAGCATCTGGAGTCAAGGATTAACGTAAAACCAATTGATTTTTTTTATACCTTCCAAGTTAGAGACGAGCATTGAAAGAGGATCATGGATACGAGAATATATGGATACGTAAAAGTTGCAAACTGTTTTTAGCTGCTGCTCTCACTTTCGCACCTCGGTGTACCTGTAATGCTCACAGTATTGTGCCGTTTATAATCGCACAAGTGGCGGTCGAAGAGAATATAAAAAGGGAAAAAGGGTCCTTTGATAACGATGTTATATTGATGCGGTGGACGGAGACACGGCCGAGAAGAGTGGGGTACCGTACTTCGTGTATTTCATTTGAATAATACACGCGTGCGACAGAGAAATGCGTGAATTGCAAATATTTATTCAATTTTGATCGGTGAGCTTGGTAAACATATCTCAATTGGTTCTCGCTGGTGTTTTCGATGGATGAGGGATTAACCCGCGGGAAAATGCGAAAGATGCGGGAAATAACTAGTAGGCCAACAGGACTACGTGAAATAAGGCCGGAGGGGGTTAGGGGAAAGAAAGGACACGGCACAACGGGAGAAACTAATTACCTCGGGTATGGCAGGCCAGCTTAAGAGCAGGAACTCGATCAAGCGAATGTGCAGGATATTTCGTAGGCACTTGGGAACACGACCCTTGAGCGCAATCAAATAGATAGACTATTTCCAACGGGACATAAATTTTCTTGTACAAATTAATCATAACTGTTGCATAATATGACAGATGCGTTAAAATAGCGAGAATTCATTCTCATGTAAAAAATAAAGGAAAAAAATTGTAATAAAAATTCTATGAGAGAGAGAGAGAGAGAGACATACGTATATACAATAAAATCATGGAAAGTAGTGTATTTAATTATAAGAATCATTTGACGCCAGCAGATGAATCAACATGATTAAGCAAAGCAGTTAATCGACCATGACTGGCTATGTGTTTTTTTTTAACACAGAAAATTTATTGCGAAAAATATTACCTCAGCCAGGGTTTGAACCTGGACCTCCCTTCTCTCTAGGCGGGCGTCTCACCAATTCGTAGTTTATTTAACCTAAGGCTATCATTTATTATTTAATTCGCTTCAAAGCAATTTGTAATTAATTAATTTTGCTTGTTTATTTCGTCAGGATATAGTTCGGTACAATTCGATTTAATTGATATGACTGATGATTGATGGGCTATATTATTTCGAAGTCCGCGTCGCAAATCCTTCAGCGTCTATTGGAAAATTTATAACAAATGTCCCCCACAATATATACATTTATGTTTATTCATAATTACGTGCTTTAATTATACGCATTAATCGTTCATTCATCAAATCGCTGCCGAGATTTTCGCATTTAAATAATATGCATATTGATAAACGATTAATGCACAATTATGTAATAGTTGCGTTGTGTATCGTACGGAAATTGTAAGCTTGCGAGAAATCGCGCGCGAAATGTGATATTGCCAAATTATTCGTATCGGCCGCCCGAGTTCTTTTTGTCATCCCGTAATATCATCCGTGTAATACACGTATTCTCGCATTCGCACTTTCAGTGAGAATCCCACGTTGAATTTGTAACCCAATATGCAAGGTCGCATTTGCGTGCGTTTCGGGAGATATTCGCGCGTTAAAAAGATTTTCACAAAATTGAGATGCACGACGGTGATTTCATTTTCAATGGCACGGCACGATAATGCGTTGTAGCCGCTCGAGATTCACATCGCGCGATGAGTTGTCCGAAAGCGCAAATAATCAAACCGTGGCGTCGCATTTATCAGGAGAAGATACGAATGCGTGTCGAATAAACAAATAAAGGAAAATTAATGATCCTTTTCTGCGTGCGAACTTGACTGATGTTAAGCTAAGAGAAACAATCACGAACAAACATCTAAATGATGTTACCGCGAGTGGTGCAACATAACACGCAATTACTTCATCCCGCGTACTGATTTAGCTTGATTAATCTTATCTTCAAACAACGTGAACGTGGTCCACTTGTCCTATCCTAACGCCTCGCGAAAATTTTCTTTCTTGATTCTGTTTTGTTTCGATATCGTATCCATCGTGTGTATGTAGGTGTTTAGAATACTTTGTAAAGTAGCAGGGAACACACGCCTTTACACTGTCATCGCCTCCATGTTTATACTACAGAGAAGGTACGATCGTACGAGAAGGTTGGGATCATGCACGTGTCAAAGCTGCTGGGAACCTACAAAGTAAGTAAAACAAACCATGTGTATGTTCAGTTGCGAGGAAGAACTTACAAAACGCGCTGAAAAATCACATTGAACTTGGGAAATGTGATACTTTTTTCGCCGATTATCACATTTTTAATACATTTGCACATATATCAAATACATTTGCTTTAAATGCTTTATTTTTTATGCACAGAATAATTTCTGTAACCGGTTTTTTTTTACGATAGTTACATAATTATGCATCGTTCATAAAATATTTACGTACTACTCTGGATTTTAAAAAATCTGGTAATTCCATATTTATTTTTATTTCACAAATACAATTTTAATATTAATTAATTTTGTCAAGTTATTTTTATTGTACAATTTTGAATTTTATCAAACAATTTTTTTATACGAACTGAGAAGCTCTTTACGTGTTAGAAAAGACCGATAGTTTCATTCTGTCTAGAATAATTTTCACAAGGTACAAAGAAGTATTACATATTGCAAGCAGGAAATATGTACATAATAATGCAACAAGAAATTTTTTACATCTCGTTGATCTAATCAGTTTATTCGAGGTAACCTGGTATCGCTAGGTAATTACGTCAAAATACGAGCTCCTTTTGCAGACAAAGAGGCAGGACAGAGAAAGGATGTCTACTCCGAACTTATTAAATTCCAACGTACTCGCCCGCTACTCACTCGCCGTTGTTTTCCACGCCTTTGTTTTCTGCGTTCTATTAACCTTCCCCTTTAAACTCCTACTTAGCCTCCGTCTCGTCGTTGCAACTGTGTAGTTTCTTGAAATGCGAACTTACGTCGCTTGTCGAGATTGCGGGATTTGCCACGAAGAATATCCGGGAAACGATTTAATTAATTCTGGACGCCTCATTTTAAAGGATAAAATGGATTGGGACGAACTACAGATAAGACGGCGACAGGACAAACACGGGCGTTGGAGAGAAAAGAAATTTTCCTGGAAATTTCACACAGAAT